AGATACAGTATCATTCAATGAAAGTCTTTGACCAGAAATATTAGAGCAGAGAGGAGGGAATACAAAGCTACACCAAGCAACATCTCAGGCACGGTGCTGTGCCTCTAGAGCCAACGGTGCCTGCTGCAAGAGCTGGAGACAGAGAGATGGAAGTGAGGCAGGAAGTGAGTGAGGACCTGGGAAAAGCATCTGGGAATTCAATAGAAAGACCCTGAGTCAGTCTGGGGAATCAAACACCAATTCAGCTGTAGACATCTGCATGTCCCTTGAAGTGGAAATGCACTGGTGTGGAGAAGTAAACACACCCACAGCAGATCCTAAGGAGCAGCTCAGAGCATCAGAGTAGATTTGGTGTACTGACAAATGAAAGCAGAACAGAAGAGACCAGCTCCCATTCTGTGTGCCAAAACAATCATGGAAAGCCAATGGATAGGCTGCCCACCTCTATCCATTGTGCAAATTGCATACATTTTGATAAATAGAGTATTTCAAGTATCAGAAAGCACATGCTTTCTACTCAAGTCTGACATGCAAAATCTGAACCATTTGAGTTAATGAGGGCAGAAAGTGTCAAGATTGTTAAAACATGGACCACACTTTGTTCAGGCAGATGATCAGCTGGCCAAAAGCTTTTCTGAATCTTAAGCATAAACAGGTTTTCAAGTAATCTCTTCCTCTGAAGAGGGGCTGCAAGACAGAATCTTAGCTCCAAATGTGAAATACTGTGTTGTCCAGCAAGGCTGCAGAAAAGTCTTTCAAGTTAGAACAGTGGCACAGTATTAAAAATTATATTAGATCTGACATGGATATGTCACAACAGCCACCCGAGCTCAGAATCTCTCCTTTTTGCCTTTCCCTTGTGGAAATTAAATGACACCTCCATTTGCAAAAATATCTGGGGAGAAATAGTATTTCATCAGATCCTTTTATCACCAGAAGTCAGCAAATTTCCATCTGCTGTCTTCTGTTTAAACATTTTAATCATTCTTTGCAACATCACATGGACTTAAAACTCCTACTGCATCTCTCACACAGGCACTGTCCCAGCTGTAAGCATATATACCCTATTTGCAAAATAATTCATGTTTAAAAACAGTTCTTGCTAAGAACAACATATTTCCCTTGGGATTCAAAGATCTCAGAAAAAACATTTTAAACAAAGTCACTTAGAATTTCATCCCTACTTCACACTCACAAATGTAAGGGGCAAAAGGAGCACAGTAGCCACCAGCTAATTGTACCACACCCTCAGTCTCTCTTCCTGTAAGCTCCAAGTGAATACATTGCTCTGCTATCCATTATCAGGCACAATAATTCCTTACTACAATGTCTCAAAGTAGAAGAGTTTGGCAGGCAATTTAAAACAGTATAGCAGAAAGCATTTAAGAGACATTTTAAAACCTATTTGTTGCATCTGAATGCAAGATACACTTAATAACACGAGCCTTTTAGTTGTTTATAAAGTTTATGACATGTTCAAGATCTTTACATCCATAAAAGTAATACCACCATACATGACACAGTGTCCAAATTATGGTAGAGGTCTGGGTTCATGTTCTGTCCAAATGCCTCTGCTACAGCTGATGCAGGCTGCTGTGTAAATAAATACACCACATTCCTGTGGAGAACGAATTATTTCATCTAGGCCATACTACCAGGCTGCCTAGGGAAGCAAGGAGAATATGAGGAAAGAAAATGCCTTATTCCCTGTTGGTGAACAAAAGGAAGATAAAACACCTGACAACGGGTCACACAGAAGCAAAATATGGGCATGGCATTATGTGCTAGGCATTAAACAATTTAATTACAGAGAAAGCTCATCAAACATCAAATACTTTTAAAGCAGAAAAGTACATTTTTTTGGTCTTGTCCTGGAAGATTAATGCACTGATGCAAGATAATGTGAGTTTGCAGAAAAGCTATGAAAATCCAATTTAAAATCCAATTAACAATCTTTCCTATTTTCTTCTTGTTAAAAATGAAAATAAAACCCAAACAACCCTTCACTAAAGGCATGCCTAAAAAGAAAAGTCCCACTGATGTGACTAGTACTGACATCAACACAATAATTTAAACAAGTCCAGACCCTAATTCAGTATAAAAATGGATCCACACTGCTTATCAGAAAAGCTGTATCTCTGAAGTAAACTATTGATCTAATACACCATTTAGCAGAGATTACTTCTATGGGCTCGATAATCAGCACTGCCCTAACACATTAAAAGATCATCATCATTCTCCTAACTTGTTACAATACAATATAGTGGAGAAAATGTCTCCAATGTCCAAACAAGTATTTAAATAAGAGTTTCTCTGTTCAACTGTTACATAAACCACTAAGAGAAGAGAAACAGTGTAGAAAGAGTGGATTTTTCATGCCTTTGCCCAATGTTACTGATACTCCTTTTCCTTCAAAGAGTGGATCCAGGAGAACAGGTAACTCGAGTACTGTTCTTCTGCTCCATCATAAAGCCAACAAGAAGTACTTTCACCCATCCCCTAAATTACATAAAATGCTTAGCTTTAGACTGAGACGTGCCAAAAGGAGTTTGCCACGATCACTGCTGGAGAGAAGGGCATTACACTTAACCCTGATCACTTTGCTGATGACAGTTTTACGGCAAACCTAGATTTGAGGGCAATGCCAGAGAATCAATGCTTCTCATTGTCTAGCCACTGCTTAAGTTACATGGTGAAGCCATCTAATGTCATCATACCCACAGTCTCATCAATTTGAAAATCAATTCTCATTCTACAATTCTAGACAAATGACTTCAAAAGTCAATAATGAGGGAGTACAAGCCAGAAAAAGTTAGATCAGAAAAAAATAAAAGGACAGCTGTATTTACATCCTCTCTTGCAAATATAACTTGAGATCAGCCCTAGCACAGTTAAAAATCTTGTACACAATATTTCTAGTCAACTTCAAGGACATAGAAATTGGTTTCCCATGGAGCAACAAGGCCGAATTTTGTACCATATTAAATACGGTGGATGGCTAACTTCTTAGATTACATCTGAGCAAATTTCAGTGTTATGTCACTACAGAAAGGGTAATTAAGGAGGAAAAAACCCCCAACCCAAAAGTTCTTTTTTTCCCTGTTACTTTTGACCAGGTAACCTCCACCTTTGTCACAAGATCAGTATCATCTAGGGAGCTACCAGAGTCCTAAATCCTAAATGCTATAATTACTACAAATTACATATCTTGTTTATTGTATCAGCAGACATATTCTTTAACTCAGGATCAACTAGGTCCCTCAATACCTTGCTTTTAACCAGTCTTTCTTACCAAGACCAATCCACTAGCTTTCTCCACCTTCGGTGTCCCTCAACTGGCAGACCACAGCTGTTAAAAGAATCAGCAAAAAATTCCAGTATTTCTATGAAAAAAAAAAACCACCTAAATTCCAATTATTACTGTGCCTGTCACGTTGGGAGTGGCTTGGAGACTACATCCATCCCTCCCGCCCTTTTCTCTCCCACCTTTTGTTGACACTGTGCCATAAACCCTTGCCATTTTAGCACATGGTCTGATAAACTCCCATACTTTAAATACTGCCAACTCTAATAAATTACTTAGTTACAGGGGTTTGATTAGTTTTGGTTTTGGCAACATATTGAAAAAAGTTACAACTTTTTACCAGCCCTTTTCTGTACAAACAAAACCCCTGGAAATGGACTTGTTGTTGCTACTACCTCAATGCCACATCAGCTGCAATTCCAGTAAAGCACAGACACGAGTAAGAACAACATGGAAAGCAGATTTCAAAATATGTGGAGAATTTCACCTTCTAAATAATACTCACTATACAGACTTCATTCACATACTAAAATAATGGATACAGTATGCAAATATTTAAATTCCAAAAGGCAGGGGGGTAATGCTGAAACAAAGAACTATTTCTCTATTCTGAACTTCTACCAAATGCTGCAGGTTTATCTGGCCTCCACAAAAAAAGGAGTATACATGTATGAATCCTACTTCCATTCAAGAACAAAATCTTCCAAAATGTTTTCTCCACCTGTAAAGTGGTATCACCAGGCTATTATACATAACCTGCAAGAAGACTTAGGTATGCATGCATTGTGCAAACAGGTTGAAGAACAGAACCCTAAACTCTCAGCCTGTTTCCTCAGTAACTGAGAAACGACTGGAAAATCGATAGCTATCTCAAACTATCTCTAATTCAAAGATAACAAAGTCAGAAAGGTAGAAGAATGTCTTGTCAGACCTTGAAAAGCCAGGGAGCAATCCATGAAAGGAGAACCTGAAAAGAATTTTTCAGTAAGCAAAGCAGGGATGAATTTTGAGGCAAAACACATTTTTTATGGATTTGTCAATTCTGTCCACACTTCAAAAGATTATTAAAAAAAATTTAAAATCTACAGCCAATGTGGAGTGGCTGCTGGTCACTTCCCACACAAGAATGAGATAGCTTATCAACACACAACACTGACTGAAGATCTCAGCAGTCTACATGAAAACACACTTCACAGCAGTGCCTTAATTTATATTATGAACTGCTTACAAGTCTATAGAGCATTGAAGGGCTGAAGAAACAATCTCTCAATAAACATGTAGAGGACCTTGAACCAAACACAGATGCAATCCATATGTTTATTTTGCTTAGCCTGAAGTACTAATTGTCATGGAAGTGCATAAAGAAGGCACAGGTTTCAGGAGAATAAGCTTGATTATTCTGCGTCAATTCAAGAAGTATCAATGGAAACACCATTGGGTTCTGTACCTCCAATCTCATATAAATACATATACGTTGCCTAAGAAGAGGTGGAAGACCTCGATGAATGTATACGCACAGTATTATTAAGAACCAGGTGAGTATGACACAACCCTCTACAAAAGCGTCTCCAGCTGCCAGCAGTCGGAAACAAAGCATTCAGGGAACATACTTTACATGGACATCTGGAGAATACGGATGCCGAAGCAAATCTGTTCTCTACGTAAATGTCTGAATTACAGCACCGTCTTATTTTACGCTACGCGTGCTAAAGATTCAGCAAGAAAATTCTTCCAGAACCTGGGGCAAGTCACACCCTGATGTGAGCCATCGGTCACCGGTGGTCTCCCACGCAAGGCTCCATCGCGTATATCCGCGTGGGAACCGCGGCGCACTCCACGCGCCTGAGCTCGGGCAGGATCGGGGAGCGCCGCTGCAGCCGCGCCCCGGCCCCTGAGGGACCCCGTGCCCCGGGAACGGCCGAGGGCNCGCTCCGCCCGCCCCTCGAGGAACGCGCTCCGCGCCCCCGCACCTGAGCGCGGGCACGGGCACACCCACTGCGCGGCCGCGCGCCGAATCGCTCCGCAGGGACACTGCGGGCAAGAGCCGCGGACCGAGAGCCGCCCTGCCCGGGAGGACTCGGGATGCCGGGAGACCACAAGCTGGACCCGGGCCGGCACAGCGCACTCGCACCCCGGAAAGCCAAACGTGTCGTGGCATCCAAAGCACCGTGGGCAGCAGATGCGGGAGGTGATGCTGCCCCTCTGCTCTGGCGAGGGCCCGCCTGAAGTACTGCATTCAGCTCTGGGGCCCCCAGCCTTCTCTGCAGACAGTCTGAGAGAGTTCTGGTTGCTCATCCTGGAGAAGAGAAGGCTCAGGGAGACCTTACAGCACCTTTCAGTACCTGAAAACTGCAAGAGAGCTGGAAAGGGACTTTTTGATAGGATAAGGAGTGATAGCTTCAAACTGCAAGAGGGCAGGTGTAGATTAGATACCAGAAAGAAATTCTTCAGTAGGAGGGTGGAGAGGCAATGGGCAGTGGGAACAGGTTGCCCAGAGAAGCTGTGGATGCCTCATCCCGTAAAGCATTCAAGGCCAGGCTGGGATGGTGCTGATCTAGTGGGAGGTGTTCCTGCCCATGGCAGAGGGTTGGAATGAGATGATTTTTAAGATGCTGTAAAACCCAAACCATTCTAAGATTCCCCTTTTAATGCCTGCCTTGAAAGATTTGGCCTTCTCATCATGTGGCTCAGAGAATTTTGTAAAATTGTGTTTTAAAAGGAAGAGCAGGCTCTGGTCTCAACCAGAAGGAAGCCATCCCCACCAGAGGAGGTGACACTGCCCTCTTGCCACAGCCCCTTTTGTGTACTTGTTCTCTACCATGCCCCACACCATGTTTGAAGTTCACCTTTGCTGCTGAAGACCACCTTGTGTCTACTGCTAAAGGTGGGGGTAATTTTTGAGGACCTGAAGAACCCTAGAATAAAGCATGCTCAAAAGGAACACTAGTTTGTATAGATAACACATTTTCTATCCTTGTAGTTCTGAATGTTATTTGGTTTCCACGTTGTCAGGAAAGGACTGGACACACTTTAGGTATAAAACTGTTATTTTTGAATCAGATATGTATCTTTGTTTTATTAAAGATGTTGAAAAGGCTAAATTAAGACCCTAAGACAGCATAAAGCCATGTCCTGGACACAGACTGCTCATGCAGGCTGTACTTTTTAGTAGAGTCTAGCCTTACATCAACTGGTGCTGGCATGGAGCTGGTACCCAGTGTCCATCATGTGAAGACAGAAATACAATCCTGGGAGAAATGACTCTTCATCTGAGGTAGCAGTCATGTGGTTGTTTCTGTGTAGGTAAAAAGTTCAGGAGGAGGAGGTGACTGTCCCTGATGTACACTTAAAAATTGCCAGTTCTACTCTCAGTTCCACTGCACCGTGTAGAATATTCATCTTCATTGTCAAAAAGGGCAGCAGCACCTTGAATGGAAATGCAGAAGAGCCTCTTCACCCTTTCTCAGAGCAGTAGAAGAGCAACTCCAGGGATGAACTGACCAAAACCTCTACCTCCCTGTACCCCTGTGCTGTTGGTGGAAAGGAGGGAGGGGTTGGGAAAAAATGGTGGTTTTTAAGGGCTTATTTTACTTCTCATTATCCTCCTCTGACTCTGTGAGTAATAAATTCACTTTGTACCTCTTAGTTGAGCTTGTTTTGCCCTTGGTGTGTTTTCTGCCAGTCCTTATCTCATTCATGACCCCATCGTAAAATTTTATTCTTTTTTCTGTCCAGCTGTGAAACAGGAGGGTGACTGAGTGGCTTTCAAGGGTGCCTGGTATTTGGCCAGTGTCAAACCATTACAGGAACAAAAAAATGAACTTCTGGTCAGTCCCTTGAATTATAATAGGGATTTAGGCAAATACTGAAATAGGAATAAAAGAATAATTGCCCCTGTATGTTTTATTTGGTTGAAAAAATTTATTTTGTTGACAAAACTGTACGAGTTTGTAAGTTTCAGTGTGGTTTTAACACTGAATGGGACAGTTTAAAGTTCTCTGAGCCACTAGATTTAAAACTACATTGTGTGTGGTAAAATGTCTCTGGGTTCTTTTCTTCAAGGAAAAGGATCCCTCAAGGTTTGGATTAATGAGTGAAAGATGGTTTTCATGTTCAGACTCATTTGTTTATTTTTTCTTATCTATATTACATTCTTACAAACAGTGAGTTCATCTGCAACTAAGCAAACAGTCTAAAAAATCAAGGCATTTTAAGTGTCAAGTACCCATTTATAAAATTCCAACTATTTTTTTTTTTACTTATAACCCAGTAACCAAACACCTGTGTTCTGCACTGTGGATTTTTCTATCCAATCACACAATATTACTAAAATCCACCAAGAAGGTGAAAAACCAAGACAAGCCTATGCTCTCAAACCTCCATCTTGCTACATGTATATTACCGTATTCTAAAACCTTAAAGTCTATATTTTCTACCAAGTGATACAACACACCTCCATTCAAACTAGACACTCACAGTTTCAGTTTTATCTATCAACCTTGGAAGCCCTTTCCACAGCCCTAGGTCAAACAGTGTTCTCCTGTGGGTCTGTGCCTGCCAGCACAGAAAGCATGAAATTCTCTGCACCCAGGGTTCCAACATATGTTATTCAATTTTGAAAAATAAAGAAATCAGGAGCAGATACCAATACAAACTGAGGAATCATTTCATATAACATATTATAAACCTCCCAGGGAAGAAAATAAACATGAATCTAGAAGGACAGCCATTCTGTGTAATATCATCATAGTAGTGGACATTAACATTACTTAAGTAGGAAAAGAATGAAATAAAGAAGACATTTTGTCGTTCTGATTAGGAACGGTGAGAAAGAACGACACTGACTCTCAAGGGAGTCACAACAGGAGAATCTCTAGTTTATTGCTCTAGGCTTGTCTTATGGACAGATACGTGGAAGGTACAGAAAGGAAACTCTTATTGCTTAGTAAAGTGCTACATCACCATCATTGGTCAGCGGGGCTCACCACCCCCCTGACTTTCCCTTGCAAGGAAACCAAGAGGACAAACAGCACGTGGCAGTTGTTTTCTGTCTCTGAGGATTATTTTGAAATCCTCCTATGAATTTTCTCAGGCTAGCTTCTCAGGCAAGACTGAGAGGCCATGGGGCCTGCAGCCTGCTCCAAAGCTAGCATCCATAACATTTTATCATTTATTCTCCAGAAGACCTTCTTACAACGGATCTCTTCATTAGACAGAGCCAACTAGCATTTGCTAGTGGTTCAAGACAGCCATTCAGTTGACTAGGAGCAAAGTTAAAATAGCAAAATTTTGAAAGACTATCTTTGAGAAATGCACAAGTTACTTAGGTTGGAAAATTCAGGAGAAACAAACTGACTGCAAGCTTTCAGTCTGGATGAGGAACCTACCTTTCCAAGGAAGGTTAATAAAACAGTTTCATATTCTGAGATGCACTTCTTTTTTTAATTCTCTATGATTGACAGCTGTTCCTCAGTGTGCCACTTACTAATTTTTCTCTCATTTTTAATGACAGCTTTCTTAGCTTTTTTTTTTTTTTTTTTTTTTTTTTTTTTTTTTTTTTTTTTTTTTTTTTGTGTGTGTGTGTGTGTGAAGTTCTGCTGTTCTTTCATGAAAATTGGACAACTTGTTACTGGTTGGTAAGAAGTGTTTCCATTTATTTAACTCCCCTTAGGTGTCATATTGACTACTTTACTCTTTATAAAGCCCTGTTGGTGTTCCAGGTTCTCCATGGGTCAGGCAGGTTCCTGTCTATAGTGCACACATCTTTTTGTGGCTACCCTGCTTCCTGAGGTGTGTTGGATAAGACTCACAGTTTCCAGCTCTCCTTCATATCTATACCATCCTGTGTACTCTGATAATTTCTGGAGTATAGGTGTCAGAGGTGGACTCTGTATGTTAACAGAGCTTTACCAGTTTCAATTTTGTTTTGATAGAAGAAAAGTCTTTGCCATTTTGGTAACATTATGTCCGAATTCTTTTATTTTGACACAGCACTGAACTGGGAACACACTGAGCATTTTATCCAAAATTTTCATTCAGAAAAGCTTTCCAAAGCAGTGGTCCCTATTTTGGTTATAACTGACACCCTTTGCCTTATGTCTGGTTTATAGACATAAGCACTAGGTTATAGTAGAGTGATCCAAGTCCTGGTATAGCAGTGTCGTTGCATAACTATCTTGTCAATCCCTACGTCATTCAGAAAAATTGTCATTAAGTTCCTTTAGAATTGATCATGTAGAATATTAAAATTATACAGGGACTCCTACCAGCTTTCCCTCACACTATTATCCCCTTATTCTCCAATATCTCTGTGGGTTTATTTTACACCCAGATGTTATGACCAAGTTAATTTTATATACATTATGTCATTACAATTAAAAATTCTTTGGCAAAATCCAGACATATGGATACCAATCCTACTATTTCTATTGACCAAAGCTTTCACCCTGCCAAAACAGAAGCAAGCTTTGTTTTACAGGACCTACTTCCACAAGACTGCGTAAGAACAATTATATTCTCAGCCTGGAATTATTTGTTAACACTGTGGCAAATTAATTATTCTGTTACTGTAACAAAGTTCAGTGATAGACTAACCAGTCCATAGTTCATCTAATTAGCTAATTCATTTAGTTAGCTAATTAATAGAGCTGCTTGTTTTGTAATGTGGAAACTGTATCACTATACAGATAAATGTATGAATTTCATCATCTGCTATATTCCAATGTAATGAAAATAGAAAATGTTTAAGAATGAAAACTTCAAAGAAGTTATTAAATTTCCTACAATAACAAAGCTGACAATGATAAATCTGAGAAGAAAAACAGCTCTTTAAATATGCCTCAGGAGACTACATGCAGCTAAGCCAATGTTACTAACATAAATAGAGAGCCAACAAACATTTGATGGCAGCTGATATTTTGATGTGGCGATGCCCTAAAAAGGCACTAAAAAAAAAAAAAAAAAAAAAAGCTATACATCTTTGTAACAGCAGAATTTGCCCTTTTTCTGAAATTCAGTGATCCAAATCCATCTTGCACCTTCCTTTTGGCACCATCTGGAACCACCAGCAACCAGACAGGTAAGAAGTCACCAAACCAGTTCAGCCAACAGTTTCCTTAGCGCTGTTTCTTTAGCATGACATGAATGAGAATGTTTGAAGACAAATACTGGAAAGAAATTAAGTTTCTTTCAAAGACTTTGACAGTTTCATTATATGTTCATGTAATTAAGAGTTATAACCAGTTGGAGAAGACAGATTTCTTAAGGAACAACATAAGTTATGTTGGACAGCAGAG